GGCCGTTCCTCCTCCCATCGGGTGAGCCCCGTCCCGTTGGGGTTTGTTGGAGCTTTCGGGGGGGGGATTTTTTTTTGGGGGGGGGTTTTTTTTTTTTTAAAAAAAAAAAAAAAAAAAAACTTTAAAAGTTTTTTTTGTTGCTGATCTTGTTACTATCTGGCTAGCAACGACAATTGGTTTCAGAGTTCGCAGGCCCCCAGTTTTGCCCAGATGCTGAAAAAGAACCTGCCAGTTCAACCAGCGACATAGACGGTAACTACACCCACAGGATGTTTCTCAGAAAGTTACGGGCTGTCCAAGATGGCATCCAAGATTACACAAGTGACAGGTAATTTTCTAGAACCGTTGCTTTCCAAGAGTCTTTCATCTATTTCGAATCCTGTCCTTCCTCCAAAAAAAAAATACCTAAGGAATTTATAATAAAATACAAACGTAGAGAGATAAATCCTGTGTCAACCTTGCACCAGTTTGCACAAATGCAGCGAGTTCAGCTTGACCTTAAGGAAACTGTAACAACAGGTAATGTTATGGGACCATATTTTGCCTTTTGTGGTGGATGGTATTCAGTACAAGACTGGACTGGGACAAAATACAAAGGAGTCTAGATCCAATGAAGCAAAATTAGCTCTTGATGAGCTTCTACAATTGGATGAACCTGAACCACAAGTTTTAGAAACATCAGGTTCTCCTCCTTTCCCTGCAGAACCTACTGTTTTACCTGAACAGGCGTATGTTTCAAAAGTACATTATGAAGGGAGATATATTCAGTATGCAAAGATTTCACAGATCATTAAGGAAACATTTAATCAACTAATTTCTCATCATTCAGAATGGCTGAAATACAGCAATTCATTGGCTGCTTTTATAATTGAAAGAGCTGGACAGCATGAGGGTGTAGCTATAGGCTTAGGTAAATACAATTACAGCCAGGGCATTAAGCCAAATGGAAGAGTATTGCATGATACTCATGCTGTAGTTACAGCAAGAAGGTCTCTTCTTAGGTACTTTTACATACAGCTTCTACTCTTCTACAGCAAAAATCCCGCTATGATGGAAAAAATCAATATTCAGTACAGAACCAACTTCTAATCTACTCACTCTTAAACAGAATATCAACATTTGTCTTTACATGAACCAGTTGCCTAAAGAATCAGCCCAGATTAAGTCACAGTTACATCTTAATCCACATTCTATATCTGCATTTGAAGCCAATGAAGAACTGTGTCTCCACGTGGCTGTTGAAGGCAAAATTTATCTGACTGTTTACTGTCCTAAAGACGGTGTTAATAGAATAAGCAGTATGTTCTCAAGTGACAAATTGACAAGATGGGAAGTGTTTGGTGTATAGAGAGCATTGCTGAGTCATTTTATACAGCCAGTTTACATCAGCAGTATACTTGTTGGTGATGGGAATTGCAATGATACCAGAGGCTTAAAAATTGCTATAAAACAATGTGTTGATGATGCCCTCACTTCAAAACTTCCTATGTTTTACTTAGTCAACAGACCTCATATTAGTTTAGTACCCTCTGCATATCCACTTCAAATGAACATGGAATATAAATTTCTGAGTCTGAATTGGGCACAAGGATATGTTTCTTTGGAGATTGTGGATGGCCTGAGTGGGAAGATCACTGAAAGTTCCCCATTTAAAAGTGGTATGTCAATGGCAAGTCAGCTTTGCAAAGCTGCAATGTTAAGTCAATTTAACCTCCTTGCCAAAGAAGCTTAAAAAAATTACCTGAAGCTGGTACATATCATGCAGCTAAGTGTATGTCTTCCTCCTATCAAGAAGCTAAATCTAAGCTGAAATCCTACTTACAACAACATGGCTATGGATCCTGGATTGTGAAATCTCCCTGCATAGAGCAATTTAATATGTGAATTAGACAATCCATTGTCATATTAAGTCTTATATTGTTTGGTGTGTTTTGACTAGTAAAAATGTTTTTAAAATATTGGCGGTTTTCAACTTTCAGAATAAGAGTCTTAACAGCAGTGTGCAGTGATTGCTGAAAATTTCTAAATATCCCTGCCAAATTACATTGAAACATTAGGGCTTTTTACTTTTTCATTTTCTTAGAAAAGGACTTACCTGTTTGAATATGGAGCCATTTTGTATTTATTTGTACAGGTATTATAAAGCCATTTTCCTTTTTGTAGTTTAATAGAGATTTCCTTTTAAGTTTTTGCTTTAAAGCTGTGCATATGCTTACCATATTCAACATTGTGTCCTGGCATCTCACTCAAATTTTTAAAATGTAAATATTGGATGTCAAGAATAAAAATAATCACTTGTACTCATTGATTAATTCAGCAGACATTTGACTGCCTAATATTTGCCAGTCAACATCCTAGGTGTTAGTAAAAAAAAAAAATCAATATGTTATGTTAAAGGAATTCATGAATGCAAACTGCACATATAAATGTAGAAAAATATTAACCATGCTAAGGAATAGTTTGATAAAGTAGTTATTCTATATATAGAGGGTTATCATATGTGCTTTAAATAACATTGCCTATTTTCTTTTTTTTCCCATTTATTTATTTTATTGCATTTTAGGTTTTGGGGTACATTTGAAGAACATGCAAAATTGTTGCATAGGTACACACGTGATAGTGTGATTTGCTGCCTTCCTCCCCATCACCTACATCTGGCATTTCTCCCCTTGCTATCTCTCCCCAGCTCCCCACCCCCCACCGTCCCTCCCCTATTTCCCCCCAAATGACCCCAGTGTGTACTGCTCCCCTCCCTGTATCCATGTGTTCTCATTGTTCAACACCTGCCTATGAGTGAGAACATGTGGTGTTTGATCTTCTGCTCTTCTGTCAGTTTGCTGAGAATGATGGTTTCCAGGTTCATCCATGTCCCTACAAAGGACCCAAACTCATCGTTTTTGATGGCTGCATAATATTCCATGGTGTATATGTGCCACATTTTCCCTATCCAGTCTATCGTTGATGGGCATTTGGGTTGGTTCCAGGTCTTTGCTATTGTAAACTGTGCTGCAATGAACATTCGTGTGCACGTGTCATTATAGCAGAACGATTTGTAATCCTTTGGATATATACCCAGTAATGG